GAGATGTTATCGGCTAGTTGGAACGGTGCTGACAAGCAACCTATGGAGTGAGAAAAGGCACTGCAGAGCACAATATTTACAGGAATTCTGCACATACTGTACCTAAATTGTGGGACAGTGAATGTAACACAGAGTGATTCCTGTGCTGTATTACTGGCGTACTTGGTCTGGTTTCCAACATTTGCTCCTATAAATCTGTAAAACAGGCAGTCTGTCTCTCTAGACATGCAAGAAGAGAGGGGAAAAAATGAACCGCCATTTGAATTCCTCCTCTACGCTTGCATTTTGCTTTCTGTGAATGACTGCTCAAATCTTTTATATATCAGAGACATTTACCAGAAGATTCTTTGCGGCAGCTAGTAAAACTGTTTGTGATTTGAAAGCAAAACAACAGCAGCAAATGCTTGGTATCCAGGGAAAGAGAAACCAGGAAAACAGAGCTGCAAATTTATCGCAGCAGTGGCAATGTGCCTTCCACCTGCTGAAGCCAAGATCATCATACCAGATGCACATCATAATTACCTGCCTCTCAAAGTAGGTCTGGGACTTAAAGCTTCTGCTGCTGGCATCACAGACAGCGGGGTGGGAGCAGAACAAAGAGCGGAAGCAAGGCGGCGGTGGTGGTAGTAGAACAACAGACAGAAAAGAAAGCTTCAAAAATAAACGGGTATGCCATGAGAGATTTCTACAGCTGGCTTAAGGGATAATATGAAAACCAGCACATCTGTTACAAAAACGAGCTTTCTTTTTGCCTTGGCCTGAGTTGGACTGAATTCCCAACAGGGCTGGCTTGGGCAAGCTGAGCAGTTGCCAAGGATGCCAAACTGATGGGATGCGGCAGTATTTGGGAGCTAGGGTAGAAAAACACTAGGGCTTGTAATGTTTTTATTGTTGCTTGGTACAAACCTGGGTGGCATACGAGGCACTTGTGGGTTTGATCACCTGGTTCCTACATTTCTATATTTTGAGGCAACAATGTAGGGCAGTAATGTGAAATTAAAAGGAAAAAGAAGAAGATTGAAGAACACAAGCAGCAATCTGGGAGATTGTAGTGTCCGGTGCTACTATCCTGCGAAGACTCATTATACTGTTCTAGTGGAGGGTCTTTTTTTAACAGTTGAAGAGAGAAGGGTGAAGCTTGCACCAGGAGCCCGTATGTGTGTGCTTGCATGGACACTGGTGCACAATCAACATAATATATTAGATATGCCTGTAATTCTATAGATCAGTGGTCCCCAACCTTGGGCCTCCAGATGTTCTTGGACTTCAACTCCCAGAAATCCTAGCCAGCAGAGGTGATGGTGAAGGCTTCTGGGAGTTGTAGTCCAAGAACATCTGGAGGCCCAAGGTTGAGGACCACTGCTATAGAGGATAATAATAACGGCTCTTGTGGATTTTTTTAACAGCTTAGAACAAAGTTTCTTTCCATTGGCAAGAATTTTCTTTCTAAAAAAAAAAGAAGATAAAACTGAGGAAATGAGGAAAGGAAGCCTTATTAAGAGCCTTGTGGCGCAGTGGTTAAACTGATGTACTGCAGCCAAAACTCATGACCTGGGGTTCAATCCCAGGTAGCGGCTCAAGGTTGACTCAGCCTTCTATCCTTTCGAGGTCAGGTTGGTAAAATGAGTACCCAGCTCGCTGGGGGGGGGGGGAGCCTGCATAATTAACTTGTAAACCGCCCAGAGAGTGCTTGAAGCGCTATGGGGCAGTAGAGAAGCAGCACACTTTG